ATGTGGAAGGTCTATGTACAGTTCTTTGAAAAGAACTCTTTTTCTCTTCTTTGAAAAGAATAGTTCAATGTACTGTTTTCCATAGAGCAAAATAGCACTTTTAAATGAAATAAATAGTTGTTTTAAATGCATCAAGTAGAAGCTAAATATGTTAATAATATATATTATTTACACCATCTTTGCACAGAAAACCTCATCTTTAACATTCAGAAATTTTACACACATTTAGCTTGTGTTTCCACTCCTTTCCTCCACTGAAATTTATTTTTATGCAAAGTATTACTCATGAAAATTGAAAATCATGAAAGGATTTTAATAACTCCATATCAAATTTCTCTATAACTAACATAAATATATATATATTTTTGTTATGCTCCATATCCTATTATACAATTGATCAAAACAACACAAATACATTACAAGTCATCTTAACAAACACAGAAAACGAAATCTCACTGGGAATTCATATCTTACATGAAATGAATGAGGCTGGGTACCATTTTTTCATTATTCTGTATTTCATGTGGCCAGACTGGTACAGAGGTCAGTGTCAACTCTGTGGCAATTTTTCATTTTAATAGATGTAAGCACTAAGAAACATTATGCAAATAGAAAGACAGGAATAGGAAGAATTTTGCTATGGCAGTGTCACAAAACTTTTTAACCTTTCTGAGCTGTCAAAAATCACAAAATTTTCTATCCCTGAAAGTCACCTTTTGATACTCTGTCAGCTATCTGCTCTATTAGGCTCTTCTAAATTGTTGAAGGCAGAGAGTTAGAAACTACCTAAAGTGCAAACAAATTTTTGTCCATTCACTTACTTAATTTCTTGGAAAAAAATCAAAAAGTCTTTACCAAGACCTACCAAATAATTATTAAATGGTTCTATTGCTCTTTCACTTAAGAACATTTTGTTTAACACAAAAGATTCTGAAAGGGTTGAGAAAATAAAAATATTGGTAAATTTATCACTCCTCTGCAAATATAATTCTTTCAATGAAATACTTGTATGTTATTATATTTTTAAAATATATTTTCATCAAAACTTGTAGCTATAGCTTTAGCTCACATGATTTTTGGAAAATGCTGACCATAGAATCTAATTGATAGAACCACGTTTATTGTCAAACAAATCAACAAAATCAGGCTTCTTTTCTTATAAAAACAAAAAGTCAGAACACCCTTTTTAATTCAAATGTATATAATAATAAGTGTTTCAAGGAATCATATATGTATAAAACACTGACAAAGATAAATACTTAATTTGTAATACTAAAGTGCAATATGTATAGCTAAAATTTTAAGTTATGTCAGATAATATAAAAATTTTAAGTTAACTGAGAAGTATAATACAAGGCCTGATAGTCCTTTGGTATGTAGCTTTGAATAATAATTAAAAATAAGAATTGAGTATAAAAATTATTACTAAAGTCATTGATTTTTTTTTTTTGGACTTCATGATTAAAGTGTTTCTGTTTATTTATACAAGAGTGTAAATCACTAAAATCATACCTGGATAGCAATATGAAATAAGATAAAATTTAAGATTGATTGAAAATAACTCTTTACAATTAAATTTGAAAAACTAAATAAATAAACAGGATTTTTTAAAAATAGAGTTCAGTGTCTTATAAATGCTCCTTGCTTTATAGGTGAAAAAAAAATGCTAATCAAGAGACTTTCCCTCAAAAGCCAGACATAGGTTCAAAGTTAATTTCATGATCAAATAAGCAAGTAAAATAAAAATGTCATTGCCCTCACTACCTCATTCTAGAATTTATCTTCATTTAAAGCATAAAATTAGGGACCCTATTTCTCATGCCAGCCTTCTCCAGGAACCCCCAAATGGAAGACAGAACAGACAAGCAGTTCCCAAGGTCTAGAGCACTTTAGTTAATTATTACAGGAAGCTTGAAATTAGTTTCAGCCTCCCTAGATTTAATGTCTAGAGTATTACTCCTCAAATAGATTTGGGATGGAAGAGGGCATGCCTTTCTTTTGTATTCTGAAAGAAGAGTTACTGTGAATCTCTGCAAATTCTGACAAGTATTTTTGTTAAGAACTGGTAACGAACCAGAGACTATCAAAGGCCAGGTTTAAAAAGTGAAAAGACAACTGTGTCTTTTGTGAATAGAGGAGTGTTGGCTTACCTCCAGATTAAAAAAAATCTAGAAATCCCTATTTTTATGTCAAATCATCTGATTATAAAATGTTGACTCAAAAACTTTTTTTAAAATACTACGCACATTCAAACGAACACTTAATACTACTGATTCAACCCAAATTGTGCTTTCTACCACTGATAGTTTCTTATGTTGTAGTTTTTTGCTTAAAATAAATACATTTTAAGATCTAAAAATAATGATTATAACTCCATATATCAAAGTATAGAAATTACTACATTTGGTCAACAGGGGCAAGATGGCCAACTAGAGATGTTTCTTGCCCAACAATCCCAGTGGGAAGTATGGATTTCAAATAAGGGAGAAAGGAAAAGACACACAGATAAAATAGTGGAAGGAGACACCAGAGTCTACCAGGGACTCCATGGAGAAAATTTACAAAGGAATAAGGGAAGAATATTTTTAAAAAATAATATATATTGATAGGGATCAAACCCAGGTAGGCTTGGAGCCCAGTAGAAGGGTAAGTGCAGATCCCTTTCTCCCTTGCATGAGCATTCAGAGTCCAGTGGGTCACAAAATCTCTTGGGTCCTTTTCTACCCCCAGGTAGCCAGACACAATGTATACATTTTTCTCTATAGCACATGAAACATTCTCTAAAACTGATTATATTTTGGTACACAAATAGTGGCTAAAAAAAAAAAAATCAAAATCACACCATGTATCTTCTCAGATCATAATGAAATTAAAATAGAAATCACCAACAGGAACACCCAATTTTACACAAAATCATGGAAATTAAACAATCTCCTACTAAACAACAATTGGATCAATGATGAAATTATGATAGAAATCAAAAAATTCCTCCAACTGAATGACAAAGGGGACACAAGTTCTGTGGAATTCAGCAATAGCAGTCCTAAGGGAAAAATTCATAGCCCTAAATACCTACAACCAAAAGACAGAAATGTCAGAATTTAACAATCTGAGGACATATCTCAGGAAACTAGAAAAAGAAGAGCACATCATACTGGGTGAACACAGCAGAAGAAAAGAGAGAACTAAGGTTTCAGAAAAACTAAATGAAATAGAAAAAAGAAAATATAGATGATCAATGAAATAAAAAGTTTGTTCTTTGAAAAGTTAAACAAAATTGATAGACCTTTCATTAGAGAATCTAGGAATGGAAAAGAAAGGGCACTAATAAGCTCAATCATAAATTGAAAAGGAGATATTAGAACTAATAGCACAGAATGAAATACATAATATCATCTGTGGATATTATGAAAATCTCAAAGCATGTAAATTTCAAGACATAGAGGAAATGAACAAATTCCCAGAATCACATATCCTCTCAAGATTGAATCTGGAAGAAAGAATTCCTGAGCAGACCATTAATGATTGATGAGATGAAAGCAGCAATTTAAAAAAAAATCTTCCAACATAAAAAGATCCCCAGATAGGAGGGATTCACAGCCTTATTTTATCAGACCAACAAAGAAGAGCTGGTACCCAGAAATTATTCCACACATAAAGAAGGAGGTAATCTTCCCCAACTCAGTCTATGATCCCAGTATTACCTTGATACCAACAGGAAAAGATATTACACAAAAAGAGAATTACAGACCAATATCCCTGATGCATATATATTCAAAAACTTCAATAAAATACTAGCAAACTGAATTCAACAGTACATCAAAAAATTAATCCACCTTGATCAGTGGCCTCTATCCCAAGGAGGCAAGGATACTTCAACATATGTAATTTGATGAATGTGATTCAACACATAAACAGAAGCAAAAATAAAGATTACATGATCATCTCAATAGATGCACAAAAAGCATTTGACAAAATTCAGCACCTTTCACAATAAAAACTCATAGAAAGAATATATCTGAAAGTTATCAAAGCCATATATGGCAAACCCACGGTCAACATCATACTGAAAGGGGAAAAGCTGAAAGCATTCCCACTAAGAACTAGAGCAAGACGAGCATGGCCATTGTCAACAGCTTTACTCAATACAGTTCTGGAAGTCTTAGCCAGAACGATTGGGCAAGAGGAAGAAATTATAGGTATCCAGATTAGAAAAGAAGACAATATGATCCTACACCTAGAAAACTCCAAAGTTTCCACCAAGAAACTCCTGGAATTGATAAAGAAATTCAGCAATGGCTCAGGATACAAAATCAATGTACACATATCAGTAGCATTTCTATACATCAATAATAGTCAAGTTGAGAGCCAAATCAAAGACTCAATACCATTTACTATAGCTACAAAGATAATAAAATACCTAGGAATATACTTAACCAAAGAGGTGAAAGATTATTTCTACAAAGAAAACTATGAAACACTAGGGAAAGAAATTTCAGTGAATACAAAGAAATAGAAAAACATCATGTTCATGAATCAATAGAATCAACATTGTTAAAATATCCATAGCAGGCTTGGTGCCTTTGGCACAGTGGTTACAGTGCCAGCCACATACACTGAGGCTAGTGGGTTCTAACCCAGCCCAGGCCTGCTAAACAACAATGACAACTGCAACATAGCCAAGTGTTCTGGTGGGCACCTGTAGTCCCAGCTACTGGGAGGCTGAAGGCAAGAGAATCGCTTAAGCACAAGAGTTTGAGGTTGCTGTGAGCTGCGACACCACAGAACTCTACTGAGGACACCATAGTGAGACTCTGCCTCAAAAAAAAAGAAAAAAAAACTTACAAGTTATAAATAACATAATAAACTTTCAAAATAAAATAAATGTCCATAGTAACCAAAGCCATTTGCAGATTCAGGGCAATACCCTTCAAAATAGCAATTTCTTATTTTGCAGATCTAGAAAAATGATTCTACACTTCATTTGGAGCTAGAGAGAACCAGAACAGCCAAGGCAATCTTAAGCAGAAGGAACAAATCTGGAGGCATCACACTGTACTATGGTATGAGGTTATAATCACCCAAACAGCATGATGTATTGGCACAAAAATAGAGACATAGACGAAAGGAAAGGATAGAAAACTCTGATGTACAACCATCCACATACAGCCAAATGATCTTTGACAAAGTGGACAAAAATAGAAAGAATCTCTATTTAATAAATGGTGATGGGAAAACTGGATAGCCACATTCAAAAGAAAGAAACAAGATCCACATCTCTTATCATTCACAAATTAATTAAAGTGGATAAAAGAATTAAATGTAAGGCATAAAACCATAACAATGCTAGAAGAGAATGTTGGAAAAACTCTTCCAGATACCAGCCCAGGGACCAAATTTATGAAGACAACCTCAGTGGCAATCACAGAAACAACAAACATAAGTTAGTGGGACTTGATTAGATTAAAAAGCTTCTGTATCCAAGGAAATAATTAACAGAGCAAATAGACAACCTACAGAATGGGAGAAAATATTTACAATCTATATGTCTGCTAAAGGGCTAAAAACAGAATCCTCAAACAACTCAAGCAAATCAGCCAGAAAAAATAAATAAATAAATAAATAACTCCATCAAAAAATTGGCAAAAAAGATGAACAGAAGCTTTTCAAAAGAAGATAAACAAGTGGCCAACAAACATATATCCAAAAATGCTCAACATCACTAGTCATCAGAGAAATCCAAATTAAAACCACAATCAGATATCATCTTACACCTTTTAAAATGGCTTTTATTAAAAATAATAGAAGCCAGCATGTGTGTAGAAAGAAAGGCATATTTATACACTGTTGATGGAAAATTAGTACAACATCTATGGAAAACTGTAAGGAGATATCTCAGAAAACTACATATCAGCAGTCCCACAAGTGGGTATTTACCCAAAGGAAAAGAAGTCATTTTTTCAAAGGGACACCTGTCTTCAAATGTTTATTGCAGCACAATTCACAATTGCAAAGATGTGGAGTCAACCTAAATGCCCATCAATTCAGGAGTGGATTAACACGATGCAGTGTGTATGTATGTACACACACACACACACACACACAGCATACTACTCAGTCATGAAGAAGGATGACTTAATGCCTTTTCCAACAATTTGGATAAACTGAAGACCATTATCCTAAGTGATGCAACTAAAGAATGGAAAAACAGACACTACATGTACTCACTTTTAAATTATAACTACCTTAAGAACACACACATGCTTAAAGGGAAGTGAAACTTAACAGAAATCAAGAAGTTGGGATGGGAGAGGAGGGGGTGGGGAAAAACTTTCCCAGCATGTCTAGGGAATACCATCTGGGTGACGGGAACACTTATAACCACAAGGATTATAAAAGTGATCCACGTATCCACAAATATTTATACCACCGTAACACTTTGAAATTTAAAAAAAGAGTTTAATTAATTTCCTGTATATAAACAGTATAGATTTCCTAGGTCAAATATAAATGGAATCAATGAAAATTCAGAAGAAATCTTGGTAGCTGTCTTTGAGTAAATACATTCATTCTTTCAGCAATCATTTACTCACTGCTTATTATTTGCAGGTATACTCTAGGCATGCTTAGATACAAATAAAAAATACATGAATGTTCAATTTAACATGGAAGATAAAGCTTAAAAATAAGTAGCAATGATATGTTTGTTGTGCTTTATGAATTAGAAACGTATTCTGAAAGCAGGAATGTGGAGTCAAACAGGAATATATGATTATTCTAACTAGAATGCAGTATTTATTAACAGTTTCTTTTGAAAAAAATATCTTCTGAGATAAATATGGATGTATTTGCATTGCAAACAATGTTAGATTATGAGCACTAAATATTTGTTCATAATGTCTAGACAAAGAAAGCTAATAGAGAAAAAAATGCTACTAATCTTAAAAATGCTAACGTATTTTCTAACATATATTGTGTAAGTTATGGAAATAAACCTTTTATAACCAATAGAAATTTGACATATCCTACACTGTAAAATATGAATACTGTTGTAGAAGTGTATCCCTTCATAAAATCATGCTAATAAAAGACAATGGCAGGATATATAAAATTTTCATTGCCTTTCAAGTTGCAAGCACTCAAAAATATTAAGTAACAGCCAACTGAGAAAAAAAAAGGAAATAATCTCAAGCTCACAATTCTGCAGAGAGAATGAAAAAAGTAAGTCAATGGTTTTTATCCTTTTATTTGGTGAGGCTGCATAGGTTGGTGCTGAAGAGCAAGGAGGGGGTAATCAGACAGGCTTTTATAATCAGCCTGCATTTTAATCCAGGCTCTAATTGCTAAGCCATCTTATCAAAGGGTTAGCTTTTAAAGTCAGTGCATAAGATGATAATAATAACACAAATTGAGCCATCGTGGAAAACAAGATACCATCTCTTAATAATTCATAAGAGCCAGTTTTCTTCTTGCCTGGTTTCTTCCATTGAGTACCAGAGAATTAGTTGGTGTGTATTTTTAGGGTCACATCCTACAATACAAAATAAATAAACTCTAGTTTTTCATTCATTACTGAGAGTGGGATGGAAGGTGAGATCATTTATATTCTTTAATTTGTCATTTTGCTTCATATCTTCCTCCCACAAGTATTAGTAAGTTCACGTAAAATTATTGACTGTGCATATGTAATGTAACACCAATGTGCAGACAGATAAGCTTCCTTATCAGTAAAATGTTGAAAATAGTATCTTTTTCATAGAGCTGTTAGAGGATTAAGTGAGACAATACATACAAAATTCTTAGGAGAGTACCTGTCACATACTAGACAGTTAATAAATTATAGTTATCTGGCCGGGTGCAGTGGTTTACACCTGTAATCCCAGAACCCTAGGAGGCTAAGGCAGATGGATTGCTGGAACTCAGGAATTCAAGACTAGCCTGAAAAAGAGCAAGACCCGGACCTAGCCAGGCCTGGTGACTTATACCTGTAATCCCAGCTACTAGGGAGGCTGAGGTAAGTAGATCACTTGAGCCCAAAAGTTTGAGGTTGCTGTGAGTTATGATGATGGCATGGCACTACTGATGGTGACAAAGTGAGACACTTTCTCAAAAAAAAAAAATTATAGTTATCATTAATTTAGCAAATAGGCTTTCCCTATAACTAAATATCAATGATAAGAAAAAAGTATTACATTTTAATTTTGAAGGTGGGCACAAAGGTCTGCTCCTGTTCCAAAACATTCACAAAGCTACTTTCACGATTATTCATGAAATATTTCAATTTCATTATTATTTCATGAGAATAGTATGATCAGTCTTTTGTCTGAGAAGGATGTGCTTACATGGGCTCTGTTTGCCCCTCCAGATCCACCCTTTCTCTATTTCACCCTGCTTTGTGCCCGAGGATGCCAACCTTTGTGGACTGTACCCCTGGACTCTCTGATGCCTGGTTTGGGTTTGCCTAATAAAAGACATCACTAGGAAACTGAAGGGGGAGAGGAATGTGAGGTCAGTATCTGCTTCCCCACTTCCCTCCAGGCCATGGTTCAGCAGTGGCTGTGTTCCTTTATCAAACACCACAGCTCTATCTTCTTTTTGATAAAGTCACATATCCAGGATACTGAATGTACTCGTAAAACTGAATGAGAAAATGAGCAAATACACCCAATTATATGGACAGAGTTTTAAACAGACAATTCTCTAAAGAAGATACACAAGTAGAAAATAGACATGCTACAAGATGCTCAACATCATTATTAATTAGGACAATACAAAATATTGTATTGCTTCTTGGGGTAGGAACTCCATCCCCTGCTCCGTACAGGTCACTAATCCCCTTTGTTGCATGAAGACAGACTAGAGGGAAGAAGACTGAACATAGAGAGAACGGTTAGGGAGGATGGTTAGGGAGTACCTACCCACAGGAAATAAGGAAGACCTGACCAAAGTAGAGGCTGTTGAATCAGAGAAAACAGGACAGAAATAAGATGTATTTAGAATATATCTATATGTAAGATAGAAAAGAAATTATAAATAATTGGATGAAAGAGCAAGGGAGAGAGTTAGTCCAAGCAGATGCCCAAGTATTTGGCTTCAGCAAATAAATGAAGACTGATGCCATTTACAGAGAACGGCAGGCAACACGGTCTGATCTGCTTTTTAGCCCCCTAGTTTCCACTATCTCTCATCTCAAAATGATTTGCTTCTCTGTAGTACCTTTTGTATTCTATTCAGTATTTGCTGGCTAGCATCATTATTTTGAGGTTCATCCATGTTTCTATATTAAAATATGTATCAATTTTTAGTCTTGAGCAGTATTTTATAAACCACAATTGTTTATACATTCACCTGTTGGTGGACAGTTGGGTTGTTCCCTGTTTCTGACTAGTATACGTAAGGCTGCTATCAACATGAGGCAGGAATCTTTGATAGTTTCATTTCTTTTACATAAATATCTAGAATTCAAATGGCCGTGCTGTATGTAAGTATATGTTTAACTATTTAATAAACTTCCAAAATGGTTTTTCAAAGTGGATGAATCATTTTACAGTCCCATAAGCAATGTGGCAAAGTTCCAGTATCCCCAAATTGCCTCCAACACTTGATATGATCATTTCTTTTATTTTAGGCATTCTAATATGTGTGCAAATACATCCCATTCTGTATTTATTTTGTATTGTCCTAATTAATAATGATGTTGAGCATCTTGTAGCATGCCTATTTTCTACTTGTGTATCTTCTTTAGAGAATTGTCTGTTTAAAACTCTGTCCATATAATTGGGTGTATTTGCTCATTTTCTCATTCAGTTTTAAGAGTATCAGTATTCTGGATACGTGACTTTATCAAAAATATAATTTGTAAATATTTCCTTCCAATTGGTAGCTTATCTTTTCATTCTCTTAGAATGTCTATCAAAGAGCATAAGATCTTAATTTTGAAAAAGTCCAATTTGACACGTTTTTGTTGTATGAATCATGCTTTGGCATCATAGCTAAAACTCTTTGCCTAAGTCAAGAGCTCAAGCATTTTCTCATATGCTTCTTAAATTTTAT